AATCATACCCACTAAACAAACAAATACTCACTAAATAAGATGTACAGAAAAGACTTGAGGACTCCATGTTCAGAGTGCCTGGAGGCTGGTTTGCTAACTTACATCCTGTGTTCTTAGATCCTCTTGACTGAACACTGGCCACCTTCTCATTTCACCCTTGCCTACCGCCTGTCCCTGCAAAGCCATGTGGCTGTACCTGGCCATCCTCGTGGGCCTGTGCTACCTTCTGCGCAGGTACCGGGAGACACAGGTGGTGAGCCACCTCCAGGACAAGTATGTCTTCATCACGGGCTGTGACTCGGGCTTCGGGAACCTGCTGGCCAGGCAGCTGGACCTACGAGGCTTGAGGGTGCTGGCTGCATGTCTGACAGAAAAGGGGGCCGAGCAACTGAGGGGCCAGACGTCAGACAGGCTGGAGACGGTGATCCTGGATGTGACCCGCACAGAGAGCATCGCTGTGGCCACCCAGTGGGTGAAGGAGCGCACGGGGGACAGAGGTATCACACAGGTTTCTCCAGTCTGTTCCTTCCCTCCTGTCAACAGAAGGCCCCTTGCTACCTGGGGAAGGTCCCCAACTGTTTTCTAGGACTTGAGGTCATACTAGCTCTCTTCACCTCACCCAGCATTCCAGCTGAGCCTCTTCTCAGTCCACTGCCCTCGCCTCTGACTTTGCAGCTCTATAGTTTGGGGAGAGTTTGTGCTGAGGAGAACTGGTCCCTGCAGAATTCCTGACTGTGTCTCTGAATATCTAGATACTGTGAGTGCCCCGGGGAGATGAGGGCCCACTTTCTGGAGGAGGGGTGGAGAGGGGTGGAGAAGCCCACTAGCCTGAAGCTTAAATGGGTGGCTGGGGGGCATCGCTGGAGCTGGGCTCCTGTTCTCAGCACATTTCCATGTTCTTGTTGGTGAGTCATAATCATCAATCAGGGAGTTGATGTCACCCATTTTCAGGTGACAACCCTGAGATTTCAGGAGAATCAGAAAGGGAAGTCAGAAATGTAATGGATGTTCTGTCCTCTCTCTCTCTTTTACTACAATTGTGCCTGTCATGTTAAGGGGGAAGAAAAAGACAGTGAGTTCATTTATCTAAGAAATGTAAATCATGATCAATGTTTAAAATATGGAAAGCACACGGGTAGAGTAAACTCACACATGATCTCACAACCTAGAAATAATGCTGTTAACATTTTGACATATATTATATTTTGTCCATAGTTTGTATCCTATTCTGTGCATTAATAGAAGATGAGCAATTATACAACTTAATGAAATTTCTTAAAAAACATTAATTAAGAAATTAAAAATCAATTACAGTTGACATTATATTAGTTTCAGGTGTACAGCACAGTGGTCAGACATTTATATGACTTATAAAGTGATCCTTCAATAAATCTAGTACCCACCTTGTACCATACATAATTATTACAATAATACTGACCTATTCTTTGCTGTCCTTTACTCTCAGTGACTATTTCATAACTGCCCTTTGTACTTTTTTTTTTCTTTTAACCTTTATTGTTGAAAGGATTACACAGGTCCTCCTTTGCTCCCATGAATCTCTTCCAGTCTGCTCCTGGCCCTTCCTTTAATCTAACTCCAGATCCTCACCACCCCATTGTCTATGTCCACTTGTTATGCATATATGCTTACAAGTTCATTGATTGACCTCTTCCCACCCACCCTGCCCTGCCTTCGTACTTCTTATTTTGATCACCATTTTCACCCAATTCCCTATATCCCTTCCACCTGGCAATTATCTATTTGTTTTTGTATCTATGCGTTTGTTCATTTAGATTCCACATGAAAGTGAAATCATATGGTATTTGTTTTTTCTACCTGACTTATTTCACTTTGCTTATATAACACCCTCTAGGTCAATCCTAGTTGTTAAAACTGGTAAGATTTCATTCTTTTTTTATATAGCTGAGTAATATTATATATGCACTACTTCATTATCCAGTTATCTATTTTTAAAAATATATATTTTATTGATTTTTTACAGAGAGGAAGGGAGAGAGATAGAGAGTTAGAAACACCGATGAGAGAGAGTCACCAATCAGCTGCCTCTTGCACACCCCTTACTGGGGATATGCCCGCAACCAAGGTACATGCCCTTGACTGGAATCGAACCCAGGACCCTTCAGTTCCCAAGCCGACGCTCTATCCATTGAGCCAAACCGGTTTCGGCATCCAGTTGTCTATTTAAGGCTACTTAGGTTGCTTCCAAAACTTGGCTACTGGAAATAATGCTGCAATGAACATAGGGGTGCATATATATATTCCAATTAGTGTTTTGGATTTTTTCTTTTGAAAAATACCCATCAGGGGAATTTCTGGGTTACATAGTAGTTCTATTTTTAATTTTTTGAGGAACCTCCATACTGGTTTTCATAGTTGGTACACTAATTTGCAATTCCACCAACAGTGCACAAGTTTCCCTTTCTCTTCACATCCTTACCAACATTTGTTGTTTGTTGATTTTTAAAATATATTTTTATTGATTTCAGAGATGAAGGGAGAGGGAAAAATAGAAACATCAATGAACAGAGAAAATCATTGATAAGCTGCCTCCTGCACACACACCCCCAAATGGGAATCAAACCCACAACCTGGGCATGTGCCCTGACAGGGAATCAAACCATGACCTCCTGGCTCATGGATAGTTAGGTTGAAAGTCCTATGTTGATGAATCATTATCTCGCAACCAAGAGGCAAATTACATTCAAAATCATGTGTGGAATTATTCAAATTTTCAGGTTTGGAATCATTTGAAATTACTATTTTTTGTTTTGTTTTTTTAAAGGAATAACCATATCACTGCCACTGCCAAAGCTTTCATCACTTTCACTTTGAATATCTGATAAATTGTCAGCAAATATATCCAGAAATTTATCATGTTTTTCTTTTTTTCTTTTTTTTTAAATATATTTTATAGATTTTTTAGAGAGAGGAAGGGAGAGATAGAGAGCCAGAAACGTCGATGAGAGAGAAACATCAACCAGCTGCCTCCTGCACACCCCCAACCGGGGATATGCCCGCAACCAATATACATGCCCCTGACCGGAATCGAACCTGTGACATTTCAGTCCGCAGACCGACGCTCTACCACTGAGCCAAACTGGTTTCGGCTTATCATGTTTTTCATCCCTATCCCTGGTTACTGAGCACTTAAAAAATATCAAATTCATATAAAAAAGTTTTATTATTATTTAAAACAAACTAATTACTTTTAATTCCTTTTCTAATTTTTAACTTCAGCAAATGTGTTTTCCATTACTGTCTTTCTCTAAGTGACAACAATGAAAATCTGAGAATTCCTGTGATCGGCCATAAGCCTTAGAAAGAAAACTGAGAATAATCATGATCTGTCCGCAATGTGTTAGGGAAACTGTCCCTTATCTTTTTGCCATTTATACAAAGTGGTTCTGTTCCTCTCTTCCTCTCCATTCTTCATTCTCTCTCTGGGTCTCTTTCTTTCCCTCATGGGGATAGCATTGATGTGTGAAAACTCAAACATGGCTCTGTGTGATCCACACTGTGACTCACTTGATTTCCTCAGCATCAGTCCTGTCTCATCAAATCTCCTCTGCCAGGCAGGGGGCTGGGCACTAGGAATAAACCAGGAGGAAGGCTGACTCTGACACCACAGCTCACAGGATCTGCCCTGCCCCAAACCCTGCAGACAGTATGTAGTTCTCCGTTCTACCAGCTCCCCATGTCACCTCCTCCTGCTGTCCTCACTCAGTTGGAAGGTGAATTGAAAGCACAGCTGTGTCCTCACTGCATGGTCTCAGCACAGTCTTCCTCTCTCCCCTCTGTGTGCCCAGGACTCTGGGGCCTGGTGAATAATGCTGGCATCTCTGTGCCCACGGCACCCAATGAGTGGCTGACTAAACAAGACTTCGTGAAGATACTCAACGTGAACCTGCTGGGGGTGATCGAGGTGACCCTGAGTCTGCTGCCCCTGGTGAGGAAGGCAAAGGGCCGAGTGGTCAATGTCTCCAGCGTCTACGGTCGTGTGGCCTACACTGGTGGGGGCTACTCCATCTCTAAGTATGGCGTCGAGGCCTTCTCAGACTCCCTCAGGTATTGGACTGGGACAGGGGCCCTCCCCTGGTTCTTCTGCTTCTGGGGGAGCCTTTGCCAAGGGGTTGTTTTCACACAGCCTCAGAGGCTCTTCCTTCCAGATCCTTCTCTCTTGCTTTTTACCAGGCATTCATTAAGAAGCACTTTTTTATCTTCTGGAGGTCTAGATGGGCCTCAGGGCAATGGAGTTGATTCAACCTGTCTGTGCCCACAGTCAGAAAGCATCTGAGGCAGAATTGAAACTGATCTGAGTCCACTGCTCAGCCCATGCACATACATTACTGCTATAGGAATTGGGTTCCAGGGCCCTGTTGTCAGTGAAGGCCCAGGAAAGCACTTTATTCAGGGAGCTTCTTCATCACACCAACAGTAGAGACTGCACTGGCTACAGGGCTGAGGATGGCTGTGATAGGGGGACAAGGGGCGAGGTGAGACCGCAGGCAGAGAGAGCTCCTTAGAGGACAGAGGCTTGGGGGTTGACCTGAGTGGGAAAGAAAAGGGAGGCATTTGAGGAGTATAGGAAAGATAAAACGGGCACAGCCCAGTTTTTTATTTCATGTGGCAGAAATACAAGGGGATAGAATTAAGTGGTGACTTTCAGCAGAATTGATAGGATTTAGAGTTATAAGCAAATGTATGCAAATACTCATAAAAATACTCAAGTTCTACCCGCTCCCCATGGCACCTCCTCATACTGTCCTAACTCAGTTGGAAGGTGAATTGGAATACTAGTAGGCAATATTATCATCATAAATTTTCTCCTCCTGTCGGCTGCACTTCACAACGTCCCACATGTTTGAGCTTAATCTACTGCAATCTTACATTGGTGTTCTATTGGGTTGGGCTTTTTCCAGGTGTTGTTCTCTTTTATGAGACCTCTGAAGTCTTTGCCTCTCTGTTGGTTTGCCTTGCAGGAGGGAGCTCTCCCACTTTGGGGTGAAAGTGGCTATCATTGAGCCCGGTTACTTCAAGACTTTTGTGACCAGTACTTCGGAGCTTACTAGGAACATCCAAGAGGCCTGGGATAAGGCCAGCCCAGAGGCCAAGGAGGTCTATGGGGAGAGGTTTCTGGCACACAGTAAGTGAGCCTTGTGGTTCATGGGGATAGAAGCAAACCACTTTCCTGAAGTCTAGATGCATAGTTAGTACCACCTTAGTCTCAGGTCCAGTCTCTGCGCTGTCTTACCCACAAACAGGGGACCTTTAATTCTATCTCCGTGGTCCCATGTTGTCACTGGTAACCTAAGGAAGGGATCCAAGCTTGTTAGATGTGGCACCACTGTCTTATGTGACCTTCTCATTTTGTTGAGGATGAAACGAAAGCCAGAGAGAAAAGACACCCATGGACTCCTGGTTAACAAATATAAGAGCAGCTGGCTTTCAGGCACTTAGATTACTAGTATCTGTGGAGACAGACCTTCAGCTGTATGTTCCACATGTCCCTAGGAATAAAGCCAGAGGCAGATAAGAGTGAAACAGTTGTGCCTGGGGAAGGAGGGAGGCACCCTCTAAGGAATTTAGTTGGATTCAATGTTGGGGACCAGGAAGTCTAGAAACTCATTCTGTAAGTTGATCTTCATGGTTGGAGTTGGGAATACATCTGGATCCTTTCTCATTCTGGACAGGCCTGAAAGGAATTGTATTGTTCGATAAAATGTTCACTCAGGATCTGTCCTTGGTGACCAACTGCATGGAACATGCTCTGACCGCCTGCCATCCCCGCACCCGATACTCACCTGGCTGGGATGCCAAGCTCATCTACCTTCCCATGAGCTACATGCCCACCTTCCTGGTGGATGCCATTGTCAAGTGGAATAAACCAAGACCTGCTAAGGCCATGTGACCTGGGATTGTGGTGCATAGTAGGGGGAATTGGGTACTGTGTGAGGGAGAGGATGCATCTGTAGAGACAAGTATGGTGCATTTTTGTTCACATTCTCAAATACTATTATTAAAGTAAAATTAAATAATTGATTCAAAGAATATACATTTCTTTAAAGCCAGGGAAGGTTTCTGAGCGGGACAGGGACTACTGTTGTAGAACCTTGTTCTTTCCAATATTCCTAATACTCTGCCGCCCCTTCACCATCCACCATCACCGAAAACCCTGTGTTACTGTCATAATAAGCTAGTTATCAATATAAGGAAGGAAGCAAACGGGAATCAAATAAGAAGCTTAATAATCAAACATTAAGCTGAATAAACTGGGAAGCTGAAGCAGATATTAGGACAGCGTTCCAATGAGTTTGCAGGGAAGCTATAGCATCAGCAGACTCATTCACACATTCCAGGGGACTGCCACTTAGGATACCTAATCCCCAAAGCTGACAGGAAAATCACCCCAGGTGCTGCCCTGCCCACCCACACTGGATTCCAGAGGAAGGAGGAGGGAAATTTCCTCCGCTGGGCACGTGAGCAATAGAAACCAGATGATGGACGTGCACAATAAAAGTTGTTAGCACAGGAGGGAGGTGTTTCCTTCTGGGCATGCTCAGTGAGAGCCAGGTGATGCGAGAGGGGCAGAGCCTAGCCTGGGAAAAACTGGGAAGGTGATCAGATTGGATAGAGGGCTTGGAACCCCAGTGAGTCCAGGGTAGGGCTTGATTGGGAGGAGCGCTGTGGCCTTTCACACCGCCCCCCCCAAACGCGCGGTCGTGCACGCGCGCGCGCGCACACACACACACACAGAGGCTGGGAAAAATTAGAAAGTTGGTTGGATGGACTGAATGACACCTTGTTCTTTAATATGAACCAACAAAATATGGAGAATTAACAGTCCTGTGACTTTTGCTTCTAGATGCTGCCCATTCTCTATGTTCCTGAGGGTGCCCTAGTCTTAATGCACTTAAGCCCAAATAAAATCTTGCCTTCACATTTATGTATTTACTAGAGGCCTGATGCCCGAAATTCATGCAAGGGCCTCAGCCCTCACAGCCCGGGCTTGGTCCAGAAGGCCATCTGGAAAGATGTCTGGTCTAATTAGCATATTACACTTTTATTGTTATAGATTTTTTTCCATCACATTTAACCTTCTCCACATGTGTGCCTTTTGAAATTCTTTTCTCTCAACAGCACAAATGCACCTGTTTTCAGAAGTAACACCTGCCCCTGCCAATGAGGTCTGTGGGTCTGTCTTACAATCCTTGCAGTGTCTGCCCCTGTCTCTTTCAGAGAAGTTTCCTGCAAGCTGAGTGGGCTTGGGGTTTGGGGCTTGGGGCAAGGATGGCCTTTGGGAGGGTGAGAGGAGACAGTGACACTTCCTGGAGACAAGGGTGCGTCAACACTAGGTGTGGCAAGAGCATCCTCGCCTTTTCCCAAAGCCTGCCCTGAGCTTTCACTCCAGGGTGATCTTTGAAATTTCCTGGCATAGAAGGTGAACTTGACTTCCTGAGGCCAGATATATTTTTTAATTTAATAGATCTTTGTTGTTCAGATTATTACAGTTGTTCCTCTCTTTCCCCATAGTTCCCCTCCACCCTGTTCTCATCCCACTCTCTGCCCTGACGCCCCACCCCCCACTGTCCTCATCCGTAGTGTATGCTTTTTGTCCAGTCTCTTCCCACACTCCCACACTCTTTTTCCCCCAAGAATTGTCAGTCCAGTCCCTTTCTATGCCCCTGATTTTTTTATATTCACCACTTAATAATGTTCATCAGAGGTTTTATTCCCTTGACTTTTAGATTCACTTGTTGATAGATATGTATTTGTTGTTCATAATTTTTATCTTTATCTTATTCTTATTCTTCCTTTTTTAAAGAATACCCTTCAGCATTTCATGTAATCCTGGTTTGTGTTGATGAGCTCCTTTAGCTTTTTCTTGTCTGTGAAGCTCTTTATCTGACCTTCAATTCTGAATAATAGCTTTTCTGGGTAGAGTAATCTTGGTTGTAGTTTCTTGCTATACATCACTTTGAATATATCTTGCCACTCCCTTCTGGTCTGCATTGTTTCTGTTGAGAAGTCAGCCGACAGTCTTATGGTTGCTCCCTTATAGGTAACTAACTGTTTTTTCTCTTGCTGCTTTTAATATTCTCTCTTTGTCTTTTGCTCTTGGCATTTTAATTATGATGTGTCTTGGTGTGGTCCTCTTTGGATTCCTTTTGTTTGGGGTTCTGTGCGCTTCCTGGACTTGTAAGTTAATTTCTTTCACCAGGTAGGGGAAATTTTCCATCACTATTTCTTCAAATAGGTTTTCAGTATCTTGCTCTCTCACTGTTTCTGACATCCCCATAATTCTGAAGTTGGTACACTTGAACTTGTCTCAGAGGCTTCTTACACTATCTTCAACTTTTTGGATTCTTTTTGCTTTTTGCTTTTTCAGTTGACTGTTTTTTGCTTCGTTGTATTCCAAATCTTTGATTTGGTTCTTGCACTCTTCTAGTCTGCTTTTAGGTCTCTGTAAAATATTTTTTTTAATTTCAGTCAATGTATGCTTAATTTTTAGTTGATCCTTTTTCATATCCTCGAGGATTTCATTAAATTTATTAGCCTTTTCCAGGAAATTCTTGACAAACCTTATAACCATGGTTTTGAACTCTAGATCCAGTCATTTACTTACCTTCATTTCCTTCATTTGTGACATGCCTCTTTATCTCTGCATTTTGGCTGCTCCCCGGAGTTGATGGAGTGGCTTTGTGTGCTATGTGTCCTAGCAGGTCCCAGTGACTCAGCCTCCCTAATTACCTGGGGTGGACATGCTTGGTGTTCCCCTTGGTGGGTTGTGTGTGCAGTCTTGTTATAGTTAAGACTAGATTGTTATTAGTATCATTGGGGGGGAGTTGACCTCCAGGCCAATTGGCTATGAAGATCAGCTGTGTCTCTATTGGGAGAGCTTCTGTGCTCAGCTTGGATGGGGTGGAATCTCAGGCTGAGCAGACTGCCTTTGTTTCTAGTCAGCCTGCCCTACGAGGTTCCTATGTCTCAGTGTCCCCCAGAAATGGCTGCACGCACCTCTGAGAGAAGGCTGCCTTCAAGTTTTGCCCTCTGCCAGACAGTCCAATTTCTCCCTGATTGAATCCAAAGACTCACTAAGTGCTTGATTTCAGTACAGTTGGGAGGTTTTGTTTTCTTCCCAAACAAGAAAGCTAGCCACGTGCCTGCTCCATGCCCCCTGCAAGCACCTCGAGTAAGCCAGCTGCGTATTCAGCTGACCAACTTTTCTGAGCCCGTGGGTCTCTGCACCTCTGTCCTCCACTGCTCCTCTGGGGTCCAGTGTCCTTTTATCTTTCCTTCTAATTGTAGAATTTCTATTCAGGCAGCTTTCTGGTGGTTCTGAATGATGTCTGCTCTGTCTTCCAATTGAAGTTTTAAAATATTTGTCAGAGTCAGCAGGATAGTGTTTACCTATGCCGCCATCTTGGTTTCTCCCATTTTCGAAAACTTTTATTGAACACCTGTGTTCTGGATCAGAGTCCCCTTAATTCCACAGTGCTTACTGAGGCCCTGACTCTTTGGTTCTGCGGTTCTGACAATGTTCTGAGAATGAACTAAACTGAGAGTGCGCTTTTGCACATAATGAAAGATGTTCATAACTGAGTACATATTGGAGTTGGGGAGTACTGCCAGGTGTCTTAGTTTTCTTCCTTTGGTTTAAAATCATGAATATGGTGCTTTCAGGGGAACCTCATGTTGTAGAATAATCTCTCTGCTCTTCATGATACAGAGAGGGAGGTGTGATGTTGCTTGCAGGGCTATTCAGTCTCAAACCTTAGTGAGAGCTTGGTGTGAGATGTGAGACTGCTGAGGACACAGAGATGACCACAAGAATCCTCAAGGATCTCTGCATTCTTCAAAGCTCTGGTGTCAGCTAACTCAAGGTCAAAGACCACACTCAAAGGCAAAGCAAAAACTTCATGCTTAATCTGCAGTCTCCAGATTTGCACAATATTCTTTACACACACACATAGACAGGCACACCAAACAAACGGAAATAAAATAAAGAATTGTTGATTTACATAATACCTTGGCCTTAAAAGTGTTTGTTCAGAAGGTTTGGATTCACCCCAAAAAGTGCTCTCCAGAGTGTCAGAGAACTGTGGGGTTATAAACCC